GCCCAAGGCGGTCGGGCGCAAGGGGAGCCCGCCGATCTATGACTCGCCGCCTTCGCGAGAGGCAAGCAAGCGGGCGCCTCGCCGTTGACAGCGCCGGACGAGCGGCTGCCGCTGGGACTTCGGCTCTCGCCTCGGCCCACAAAAAGAGGATCTCCGGGCGGTCGCCGTCGGACTCTCTCGGCTCGCTTCTCCGCTTTCTTTTTTTTGCTTTTGCTTTTTGCTTCTGCTTTTTTTTTTTTTTTTTGAGCCGGGGATGATTTTGCAAACCAGGTGTGATCCTTCCTGGCTCTCGGCGCGGCCCCTCCAGTAAAGCTCTCCCGCAGCCGCAACCAAAGCTGCACCGGCCGGAGAAAGGACAGCTGGACTTCGGGCTTTGTGTTTGTTTCCCGGTTGCCCCCTCCCCCCTTTCCCCGGCGTTTGGACTCGAGTGCGCGGTTGTGTGGACCGGGGGGGTCCTCCGGATTGGTGGGGGGGCGGGGGGGATTAAAAAAATAAAGAAGAAGAAGAAAGGAAGCGAGATCAGCCTCCTCCTCCTCTTTCCTCGCTCGCCTTTTTCTCCGCCAGCCGGCCTGGGGCTGTCGGATCTTCATCCAAGAAGGACGGGAACTTTTTATTTTCAGCTCCCTCGGCCTGTGGCGAATGGTTGGAGTCTCCAGTCCTTTTCGGTGTAAGTATCTCCGCTGCCGCCGCCGCCCCATCCCCGCTGATAGGAGAGAGAGAGAGAGCAGCACTGTTCGCGCCTGGAGCTGCGTTGAGGACCGGATTGTGGGGGTGCAGGCGGGGGATCCCGAGCCTCTCCCGCCCCCCGCACCGCTGTTAAACTAGGCGGGCTCCAGGGGCAGCCTTGAAGCCTCTCGGATGGAGGCTTCTCTTCGCCCGCCAAGGGGAGGGTTGCTTGGCGAAAAGCAGCAGCGTCGTAGGTTCTGCCTTCTGGCCCCATCGACATTTTTCTGAAAGCAACCCAGCGCAGGAGAGAAAAGTTTTAGCCCTCCGTTTAAGTTCCGCCTGTCGTCTAGATCCGGGGCGGCAAGCGGTCCAAGGCTTTCAATCTGAGCTAATAGGAAATAAACCAGGATTTTCCCCCCTCTCTCTCCCCCACTCCGCCCCCAGGAAAAAAAAAGTACAGCAGCACCTCTGAGCATGTACGGAATGATTTCGTTGAACGCCGAATAATAATTAGAGCCGTGCAGTTAGGGTGGTTGGGGAGGGCTAAGTGCTAAGGTATAACGCTGATTTCTTTCTTATTAATGTTTTGTCCCCGTGGGAAGTTGTTCCTTGCTGGGTTAGGGTTCGTACTATGCAAGATGGTTGGATAGATTTAAACACCCGTAAGTGGTGGCTTTGCTATAGGTAATCATCAGGATAGATAACCGCTTAGGCGCGTTCTGCACCGAACACAATATAGAAATGATTATCAAAAGGCACCCTTTATTTTCTTTTTTGCAGAAATGCATTTCAGGTAAGATGCACTAGGCATTGCTTTTTTCCCCAAATCTGAAACTTTTATAAGTGTCACTACAATACATGCCAATATGTGGAAGGAGAAATGCACAAAACTGTGTATTAACTGTAAAAAAAAAAACCCGGGAAATTGAAAGTTCTAATTAAATTACTTTTCGGAGATACTGATTTTATGAAAAGGGGTCTGAAACAAGATGCAGTTTTTTAAAATGTATTGCACGTGCCTAGCTAGATATGTTTACTTAGAAGTAGGAGTCACTGCGTTCAATGGTCCTTCCAGGTAAGTGTATAGCATTTAGGACAGAATTATAGCCTAAGCTTATAAATCACGGATATGTTTTCTTTAAAATCATCGCTATTGAAAAATCATAGAGGAGATACAACTGATCACTAACAATTTTCATTGATTTGAAGTTTTATTCACTTTACTGTTAGGAGAGGTTGGTCAGGAAATCTCTTCAAACTATATTGGATTTCAATTAGCACATATGAGCCAAGTTCCTGTATTCTTTAGATGTAAGTGGAGTATTATTTATCCTTGGACCAGATAGGCGACTTATCATATGCTGAATTACACCTTTGAACTACTTTCCTTTGACAGCACATCTGGAAATAGTAGGGTAGTTAATTGTGTGAATGTTACTTGGAAACAATTCCCATTGCACTGAACAGGACTTACTCATAGGTAAATGTGTAAATATGCAGCCTTAGATTCACTTTAGATTTTATATATATACATATAATTTGTGCTGATAAATAAATAAATATATATGGGAATTTCCTAAGAAGTATAACAATCTGGCCCACTCTTTGATGGATGACTTCTGAGTCTTGGAATGCAAAAATTCATGTACTTAATGTAACTTTGACCCCTTTAACTTTTAACATTGCTCCTCCTAATTAATCTGTTCAGGTCCCTGGACTTAAATGGCTGTCTACAGCTCCTGAAAATTGATTTATTCCCTGATGGTGGTCCCAATTGCTGACCAAATCATATTTTTTTCCCTTTAAGTTTTAGGCAGATTTTTATCTGTTTGGACTGTTTAATGAATGCATAGTTTTGTAATAAACTCAAAACACCTTTGAAATGCATAGTTTTGAAATAAACTCAAAATACCTTCATAGCAATTTCAGAATTTTATCGCTTGAATATTTGTGTCGATAGCATAATGTACTTCAAATGGTCCCCAAATTGGTACCTTTTTAGACATGGCATTATTTGTTGAAAAAGATGCTCCTCCTGCTGATCTGAAGGATTCTGTACTTAGTTTTTATTCAGCTAATTAATGATTAGAGAGACTGTAGAAAATAGATAGCTATAGCATGGATGGTATTCTTATACTAGATTTAAGGGTTGGATCATAATCAAATATAAAAGCTATTGCTTTTTTGAGAGATGCTGGAAAGATTAGTTTAAATAATTCTGGAATAATTTTCTGCATAAAGCTAACTGACATGATCTTCTGTAACTACATTTTTAGAAAGGAATTGTTTTCCAAAGATTCTTTTCTAGAAACCCAAACTGGATATTTTATTTTGTTCAGAAGCACATGCCAATAACCAGTCATTAAATTTATGACAGGAGATGGGGAGATAGGTGGCTTCTTCAAGCCTCGCCAATGATTAAATGTCATTGTATTCACAAGTATTTTCTTTAAAGTATTGGTATGAAACTTTTCAAGACAGCATATCAAAATTCATTGTGCATGATGAATCAGCTTGGTCAATTCTACCTCTCCTTTTCTAACTCCACTACTGTACTGTCTAACATTATAAATATAGTTTATTGTTTAGTTTAGAAAGCCTATAGCAACAACTGAATGGGAAATCAAATCTTCATTCACATACAAATGAAAAATGCTTCACTTTGAAAATCTTATGAATGAACCAACAGACAAGTAATAATTCTATTTTGCAGTGGAATGTAGTTAATGATATCAAGCCATTTCATTCTAGTATCTGCTGCTTTCAGCTTGTCTTTCTTCAAAGGTATCCATCATTTCAGTGATTCCTACTTTATTTTTGAAATAGCATTTTCCCATTCCCATTGTTAAGCTACTGCTGATGACCCTCCACTAAAGCACCACAAGTATACCTTCGGCGGTATCAATTTGTCATCATGTTTCTGCAGCACATCATACTCTTATGCTGAAAAGTACTGTTTGTTGTATGGAAAAAGGAAGCAGGAAGCTAAGGGCACCTGAAATAGTGGTCAATGGCCAGAAAGCTTAAGGAATTCTCCTCTGTCAACTCCTATTTCTCACTGTTTTGAAATGGAGCTCAGCTGACAGCCACTGAAAGGAGAATCACTGAGCTTCTGTGGAGCATTTCTTTAGCAGGCATTCTGAAGTAGCTTGCATTGCAGGCAGGGAAGCCCTCGTGAAATTGGGGTTTGTTCAATACTTCAACTTTGTTTACTGCAGTCCCAGTGATGTTAAATATTAGATAATTCCAAAGGATTTATAACTGGTAATCAGTGTGCCAATATGAATCTTTTTTTAAAAAAACCCAAATATTTTCCACTGCCTCAATTAAGTTAAATTTGGAAATATTCAACAGAAATAAAATAATTGTCTCTTGTTCAATGAAGGTGATTTGTTGTGAATTGACTGCATAGAAGAAGTTTTTAAAAATGGTCTTTTTCTCAGAGCTCTGACTTAAAAAGTGATCGTTATGGGAGTTTTACTATCACATAAAAAGGAATATTACTATTAGAATGTAAATGGAGCATCTTTCATGGAAGAATGGACTCCAGTGTGATTTTTTAAAAAATCTCCAGATTCCTTTTAACATGCTGAGCACTGAATGATCTCACTAGACAAAAGCCTTCCAATACATGGCATAATTACTTTTTCACATGAATTCATACATTGTTAAATACAGCATTTGATTTTTTTAAAAAAATTGAACAATTATATTGTAATTCAAGCTTGCTTTTATGTAAGGTTATGGGGGAATAAAAGTAGCAGTGAATAAGACCAGCATTTACAAATAAGAATAGTTAAAAGATTAATGATTGTGTAAAGAGAGATTTTGATTTAGAATTCATTAGCTTAATCTGATAGACATCAACATCCATCTTCATTATTTTTTTTTAACCTTCCTTGATAAGAAAGTTCTCAAATGATGTTTGAAGAGCAGTGAATTTTTTATTAAAGTAAGCATTGCCTCGGCATAATGGAAATAATTGTGAATGATAAGAACAGAGTAGAGCTCTGTATGTTGTCTAAACAGAAAGAGATACTTTTGCTCTATTTCTAGAGTTCAGTTTTGTATGACAAGGGTCACCTGTCTGTTCACACTAATTAAAGACTGAGAAGAGAGAGAGAGAGAAAGAAGGAAAGAAAGAAATCTTAAGATGTTTCGTCTCAATGAAATTTACCATAATTATATTAGTATAATGTAGTGCTACATAAACAGGACAGTCCTAATTTTGAAAGGAAGTAAATGCTATGTGGTTGCCATGGACATGTAGTATGCATCAGTGATGGATAAGCTAGGGATGCTAAATTTACATTAAGCATGAATTTTAGTAGCAATTAATAACATTGCTCATTTTAATACAAGATATGCACAGAAATTCACTAAAATGAAAGAGAATATTTTAGTCCAAGTATGCATTTTCTATGCATTCTATTTCACCTGATTGTGTGAATATACACATGATCACTAATCTTAGAGGACTAAAATATATACACTGTGCCATAAGATCTTAGGAATTTCTACCACATCTGCTTATAGTAATTATGACCATAATTAACATAAGAATTACAAGCGAAGTGATGATGAGCTGAGCAATGAGGTATTATGGCATAATAGTCATATGTCGGTATTCTCACATTATTGCACACTAGAATTCACATATTCAATGCAAGAAAAGATGTTAGATTTCGAAGCATTAAGCAGCTAAAAAGGCCTCCCTGCCTAAGGCAGATGGACCTTTTTGATTTATAGGAAGGTAACCATTATTAAGAGAGAATCAGTTGAAATTAAGATTTATAGCCCCAAGCTTGAACTTTCAAGCATCTTTGATTATGAATGGTTCATCTCTTACACATTTTCATTCTGACCACCAAGTATATCATATATATATATATATCTTCCTTTTTTGTAAAAAAAAAAAAGTAATGGAACGTGTTAATAAATATTTTTAATCAAAAAATAAGATACCTTATAAAGGCAGTGTATGCAGTAGGCACTGGAAAA